ATTTGTCCCAAAAGACTGTTTCGTTTATCTCCTTTGTAGGGAACAACGTTTATCTCCTTTGTCGTGTTTTTTGTCTTATTGTGTTCATTTGTGTACTCTCTTGCAATATATTATTGCTGATTTAAAATTCTTTGACCCCCCGGACACCCTAATGTCCAACCTTTTAGTGTGAAGTGGCCTTGACTTAATATGAATTCAACCTCTTTGCATAAGATTTTGAGCTCAATGACAGTGTCACATCCGAAAATTCCATCATCCATATAAAATGATCTAATGATTGTTTCTGATGCCATTGGAAATTTATCTGCGTGATCTTTTGCGCATTGAATCATCGATCGTACTGCATTGTACGGTGATGAAGCCTCGCCAAAAATCACTACTGTCATAACATATTCTTTGAGCTCTTTATTTTCGGAATCTCGCCAGAATAATCTATGCAAATTCCATTGGTTGGGATTAAGTCCTACTTTATTGAACATTTTTGTAATGTCAGTCGCTACTGCATGTTTATGTCTTCTAAAACGCATTGTCTGTAGTTGAGAGTCATACTGTAGCTTTGGGCCTTTCATTTGAATTGAATTTAGTGATTCACCATTTGATGTCGGCTGTGATGCATTCATCACTACTCTGAATTTTTTCAAAACTGCATGGTGTGGTATCCAATTGCATAATTCGCCGGCTTTTGGCTTGTCAGCTAGGCGCATGTAGCCATGCTTCATATTTTCATTCATGTATTCTGTATATTTTTGTTTTAATTCAGGGTTTTTTCTAAACTTGCTTTCCAACTGCATGAATTGCTTTTTTGCCATAGCTTTTGAATGGCCTAAACCTTTGCATTTTGGTTTAATTGGAATAGTTACAACATACCTACCATTTGCTTCTCTGTAGTATGTTTTCTTAAACAACTCTTCTACTATGTGGTGTTCTTCGCTTAAGATTATTTTGCTTTCGCATTTGTTTGTGTCTTCAATTTCCCAGAATTTAGATAATGCATTCTGTAATTTTTCATTTTTATCTTTATTTATATTAAAAACATCATTTTGCATAGCATTTAATGCGATTAAATCATTAGTTTGATGCTTAGTAATAAATTTGCCTAATATTATGTGACCAAATCGTGTAGCTTGCATTATTGCACCGTCTTTATGCTTATATAACCCGGGTTCTATTATATCTGAGTACATTTCTACTCCAATTAGTGCATCTATTGGAGCTGGCATATCGAAATTCTCATCTGCTAAGACTAAATGTTTTATTTCATCTTTGGCTACGTTGATCTGTCGTTCTGGATAAATTCCATCCAGTTGTTTTAGGACAAAAAATTCGGTTTTGATTGCAAACTCGCTATCAAACCATGGTCTGACTATTGCTATGATTTTATGCTTTATAATCTCTGGGCCGCTTACGCCTAATATTCTCTTTTGACATTTCGTGGTTGGCAGCTTGTTTTCCATCACGAAGTTTAGTGTGACACAATTGAGTGTCGCACCTGTGTCCGCTATTGTTCTGCAATAAACAATTATCTTAGTCAATAGCATCTCTATGCGTATATTTAATGTTGCCAACAATGTTGTTTTTTCAAACTTACTTTGGCATCTTGGGTTAATGCTTTTGATTGCGTTGCTTTGCGCTATTAATGAACAGTCGCCAACTTTGTTGATTGACAAATGTAGTTTGTTCTGCTTTGAAACATTACTATTTTCATTTTTGCATTGTCTCTTGGGATTTGGCTGCTTGCCTCTCCAATTTTTGCGCTTGTTTTGATCGCCAACTACTTTCATAGCCGCATTAGCCGATGAAATTGTATTTGGGCAGAGCATGCTGTTGTGATATTTATGATCTGGCAAGCATTTGGGACATGGTTGATTGTTTCTCTTGTTTTTACATTGGCCTATGTGGCCTTTCCATAAACATCGAACACATAATTCTCGTTCGGCTACTCTGTTTAGACGAGAGACTAAGTTCATGTCTTTGAATTCTTGGCATGTATAAATGGTGTGTGAACCATCACATGATGAACACTTTGTGGTTCTTTGTGAATTTGCATTAAACTCATTTTTTGTGTTTTTTCCAAGGCGTTTGAGTTGTTTTTTGGGTGCGAGCGCATTGCTTGGTTGTGATTTTTCAATATTCGAGCGTCTTTCAGCATGTACTCGAATCGTCACTTCACCTTCTAAAAACTGTTCAAGTTCAGACCATGTTGGAATGTGTTTCCCTGGTCTGATTGCATTGTTTGTTTCGGTCCCATCATTTGCTGTACATGCTTTCGTCAGTGATGGCCGATATTTTTCCCATGCACGATACGTATCTGTATCCATTTTGCTTATGACCGCAAATACCACGTATGGGTGGTTGTCATTCATTTCAACGTATCGTTTTAAACCATGTATGTGTTTTTGTACGATATCAATTGTATCGCGGATGGTTTTGCTTGTCGATCCATTTATCTGTGGCAGCTCTGCCAATTTTTGCATGAATGATTGGACTTGCATGTAGTCGTCTTCATAAATTGATTGCAAACGTTCCCATGCCTTGCTATAGTTCTCATCTGTGAGATCCCATTCGCCTAAGGCGCCTTTTGCTGGACCGACGCATGCGGCTTGCAAATTTTGGAACTTGACAATCGTTTTTACTTTATCATTGTCATGCATCGAAGCCACCCAACGGTCGTGAAATGACTTCCATTTTGGGCGGGGGCCTATAATTTCTGTTGAATTAATTTCTGAAGCCTGAGAA